CATTTTTTTTCCTCCTCCCCTCCGCCCCGCCCCGCCCCTTTTATCAGACTTCAATGTCAGTCTAACTCGTGTAATATGTTTTTTTTAAAAATGTTTATCAATAATAATAATAATAATAATAATGATAATAATAATAAAACTTTTTGGTTTCTTTTGACAAAAAAAAAAAAAAAATATATAAAAAAAAAGATTCCTTTTTAATTTTTCTTTTCTTTTTTTTTTTTTCTTTTTGGTAACATTGAAATAATAATAATAATAATAATAATGATAATAATAATAATAATAATGATAATAATAATAATAATAATAAAACAATAAAATTTATGTAAGCATAATAATCAATCAAGGTTATAAAAAAAAAAAAAAATAAGAAGCGTAACAAGAACAATCAATCAACAATCGATCAGTGTCATATTAAGGAAATGATGTTATAAATACTGGTATAAATCGAACGAAAAAAAAATCATTTCTCGTTCAATCATAACTAATACTGATTCCGAATCAATTGATAATAATAATAATAATAATGATAATGATAATAATAATAAGAGAAACAATAATAATAATAATAGTAACAACAACGACGACGACGACGACAATAACATTCACGCGGCCAATAAATTTTTTATATTTTTAGGTGTCGCATCTTCGTTCAAGTGTTTTGTGGTATACCTAAAAACAAAAACAAAATATTAATATATATATATGGAAGGGAATGGATTTATTATCATTATCGTACCTTAAAGCGTTTAAAAGTCCTTCGGATCTCGATGGCGGTTGATCTTTTAGTAATTTAACACAGCCTTTCACATCGACGTTTGATGCTTTAACGAAAGCTCCGTGAGGATGTACGTGATCGTATAAAATGACCAAACCCACCATGACCCTTAATACAAACAATTGAGTTTCTTCCCTTTGAAATTGGGCTATCAAATTACTGAAAAAAAAAAAAAAAAAAAAAAATGATCAAAATTAAAAAAAAAAAAAAAAAAACAATTAAAACGCGTCGGTTAATTTAACTATTATTATTATTATTATTGTTGCTAAAAAGGGCAATAAAAGTTGACACGATTTAATGGCTACATTTATATGAAACTATTTATGATTTCTTATACAATTCCAAATATGGATCGTCGTACACTCAGGCATCAATCAAACATTGTTTGTTTGTTTGTTTGTTTGTTTGTTTGCTTTTTTAAAAAAGTTATTATTATTATTATTATTATTTTAATTGTTTTTAACAACACACTCACGGATTTTCCAACATTCTCAAACAAACTTTTGCCATAGTGCTTAAAGTTTCTGTTATGTTTTCCTTAGGGATTTCAGAATGTTCTAAAACGAATTTGGTTGTTGCTTCGCTTAAGACTTTGAGCATTGGAGTTGCATGAGCATAAAATAACGACATCCTATATGCCAGTTCGTTTGTTATTTCTTTCGAATCTTCAAATTGATACCCATCATTTGTGACGGACATTCTCTGTCTCGACAATGTTCTCCTGTAATAACTGAAATCATTTTGAATTGCAGGAGTTTTCATTTTGAGTTCGTCAAATTTCAATACAAATTCTAATATTTCTGCTAATTGCTTGACTAGTGCTTGTTGAGTTTCTAGATGTTGAGTCGGAGGCATTTCTCCAGAACACAGTTCATACAGTATTTTTGGCACAACATGGTCTGTTAAATAATAATAATAATAATAATCAGTTTCGAGTCAACGTTTTTTTTTAATATGTCATTCGAAATTATATAATTTTACCTAATTGAGTAGAAAATTGATAAAAGGTTTTTAATTTCGACACTAACGGAACTACTGCTGACCAGGCTTTACTTTGAGTTTCATCATGAGGATTGGCTATCGCTTCTCTTATTTCTTTTCCAGCACCTTTATAACATTGTAATTCATCTAATATTTGATGTGAATTCTGTAAAACTTTATTCACTTCTTGAAAAGTTTCCTCTTCTCCCTCCGTAGGCTGTGCATCTGAAAACATTCAAAATTTTTTTATTTCTTCAATCGATTAAGCAAATCTCAAACGTTATATACATAATCGAATTCATTTCGATAGACAGAGCGACAACACAACTGATCATAAATAAAATTTACAATCGATATAAAATCTACATGAAATTATATAACCTTCATAGATGACATTTTACATTAACAACAGATTTAAAACATTTACTTTGACAAATCGAATTAGCAATCAATTTGTATGTAAAAAAAAAAAAAAAAAAAGCCCGCCATCTTTAATTATTATTTTTGTAATGACAGATGTACATCATCCATTAGATAAAAAATATATACACTGTCACAGTCTACAAAAATAATAATTTAAAAATAAAACGACAAAAGAAAATAACTTACTTTCAAAATCCAAAAAAACGTCATATTTTTGTGGGGAACAACAATTTGAGTCATCTCTGGAGAGAAGACTCAGCAATTTGCCCATGACTAATAACCACAATAATAAACTACACTATCACAGTTAAACAATAAAATGTAATTAATACAATTTGGGTTAGAGTTTCTGTTTTCTCTCTCTCTATTTTTTCCTCTCTCTCTCTCTCTCTTTATACAATTAAATTTGAAAAAACGAACGTGAAAAACATTTTTTTTATTAAAACACTTTTATAATAAATTCACGAATTTAAATCGCGCAAAAAACTAAAAACCTGGATCTTGATGATGATGATGATAATAAGTTTTAAATAATATAAATTTAACCTCGTTAATCAATCATTTGCTATGATTCTCGCGAGATCGCGAGTCTACAAAAAAAAAAACAATCAAAAATTAATTTTCTTTTTCTTTTTTTTACTCTTTAACAACCGAATTAACTGACTAATTTTATAAATTTTCGTCATAACACGTCATTCTCTCTCTCGTCGTTTTCTTCTGCTGTTAAACCATAAATTAATTTGTCTGCCATTTTATGACGTCACAACACTAATTGAAATCTCTTTTAATAAAATATATATCGAATCGAATTTTAAAAATTAAATTAAAAACGAATTTTTATTATTTAAAAAAATAACAAAATTAAAAAAAATGTTACCGTGTGCAAAGAGGTAACTAATAATAATAATAATAATAATAATAATGAGTAAAAACAAACAAACGACGACGACGCACTTTTTTTTTTTTTTTTTAATCTGATATTGAAATTTGACGTCGACGCAAACGTTTTTCTTCCAACTACGACGACGACACAATCGCGAAACAAACAAACTAAAACGTTAACCGGAAATGAATTTTAACCGACCGATGAAATGGAGGGAAAGAAACTCGCAAACTAAAAAAAAAAAAATTGTGTCATTATAATTGAATCAATTAACGGTTATATGTATGAAAACGTTGTTTGCTGTGGATTTTGTTGTTGTTGTTGTTGTTTGTCGTTGTTTATCGTTTTCACTTTGCACTCGATTCGACAAACTACTTTTTTTTTTAACAAACTTTCTATCACGGAACGAAACAAATAATAATAATAATAAACTAAAAGCTCGAATGGAGGTGACGAAAATACTAGCAACCCCCCCGTTGAAAAAAAGTTTGTATTTGTTTGTTTGTTTGTTTCTTTGGGGAGTCCAAATTTTTATTTTTAAGCGAGTTTATATTTAAATTTTAAAAAAAAAATGTAACGGTCGTGTTTAAAATTTAATTTTTTTTTTTTTTTGTTAATTTCAATGATCGAAAAATATCGTCACGTGATTAAAATAATAATAATAATAATTCGATTGCAATTATTATCATTATCATTATCATGCCCTTAACTTTGTTTAACAAAAAAAAAAAATTTAAACGTAATAAACGAACATCTGCCTTCGTCCCTCCTCTTCTCCCCACCCTCCCTTTCTCCCCTCCCTCCCAAAACGAGTTCTCCATTTTTTCTTCCTTCCTCCCTTCCTTCCTTCTACTTCTCTAACCTTTCTTTCTTCCTTTTTTTTTTATTTTTAATTTAGTAAAATCAAAATGTAAATAATAATAATAATAATAATAATAAAGAAACCTGCAGCTTTCATAAGAACCGTAATAATAATAATAATACCAAAGTCGATTATAATTAAATTTTTATATAAAATCGGGCAGCTGCTGGAAAGTCCGAATCAATTATAATAATGATAATAAAGAAAAGGGAGGGGAGGGGGAGAGGGGAGAAGGCTCAACAGGTTATTTAGGTGGTGGGAGCAGGTGCAAAAGACTCATCAACAATATTTTGAGTGTGGCAGGTTGTAAAAAACAAAAGATTTTTTTTCTTTTTTTATTTTCCAGCTGCTTGAGATTTTTTTTTGTATACGAACGGGTTAAATAATTTCGATAATTAATCGAGAGTTTCGATTGTTCGTTCGATATATCGTTATTTTAAAGGGATTTCTTAAGATAAACCTTCATAAGAGAAACCGAATTGAAAACGGTTAAAAATATTGAGATTTAAACGTCGTATATGTGAATAATAATAAAGTGAATGAATTGACACGCACGCACGCACGCACGCACGCACGCACACATTTTAAAATTAATAAAGAAAAAAAATAAATAAAAGCAAACGAAACATAATAAAAGAAAAAGAAAAAAAAAAAATTTTTTTTTTTTTTTTCTATTAAATGAAACATCCTGCTGGTATTTTGAATGGTATCATGTGGCAGACGAACAACGATTGAACCTTTGCCAGATGCAACAGATTTTGACGACGAATCCACAGAAAAACATTTACAGGTGTAAAAACATTTCTTTTGTTTCTTTTTGGAAGGTTTTTTTTTTTTTTGTTTGACATACACGTGTAAATATTTTTAGCTTTCACCATTTTTTTTTCTTCATTACACCAGTTCAAAATAAATGCTACAATAATAATAATAATAATAATAATAATAATAATAATAATAATAATAATAACTAAATAACATTTAAAAAAAAAAATTAACCGTACTTTTTCGAGAAAATATTAATATTAATAATAATAATAAATTTCTTTTCTTTTTTTTTTGGTTAAATAAATAAA